AGGATTTCTATTGGGTTGAGGTCAGGACTCTGTACAGGCCAGTCAAGTTCCTCCACCCCAAACTCAGTCATCCAAGTCTTTATGGACCTTGCTTTGTGCACTGGTGCACAATCATGTTGGAACAGGAAGGGGCCATCTCCAAACTGTTCCCACAAAGTTGGAAGCATGAAATTGTCCAAAATGTCTTGGCATGCTGCCGCCTTAAGAGTTCCCTTCACTGGAACTAAGGGGCCAAGCCCAACCCCTAAAAGCAACCCCACACCATAATCCCCCCTCCATCAAACTTTACACTTGGCACAATGCAGTCAGGCAAGTACTGTTCTTCTGGCAACTACCAAACCCAGACACATCCATCAGGTTGCCAGACAGAGAAGTGTGATTGGTCACTCCAGAGAACACATTTCCACTGCTCTAGAGTCCAGTGGCGGCATGCTTTACACCACTGCATCCAACGCTTTGCATTGCATGTGGTGATGTAAGGCTTGGATGCAGCTGCGCGGCCCATGGAAACCCATTCCATGAAGCTCCCTATGCACTGTTGTTGTGCTAATCTGAAGGCCACACGAAGTTTGGAGGTCTTCAGCTCTGCAGACAGTTGGCGACTTCTGTGCACTATGGGCTTCAGCATGCACTGACCCCGCTCTTTCATTTTACGTGGCCTACCACTTTGTGGCTGAGCCAAATGTAAGTGCATAGCTTTCAGTTAGATGCTTGACCCATAGGTATATTAAGTGAGAGTAAGCAGCAAGGTGCAATCTCTGAGTATCATGGCGAAGCAGGAAGCAAAGCCTGTCAATGTACTTCTGAAGAAGTTCGGAAGTGACGAAACGCGTAAGAGGACGTGCAAATTATAGAAAGTGATATGTATAAGAACACTTTCTATAATTTGCAATTTGTACTTTTAAATTTGTATTCAGCATTGCTTCAGGATGAGCCGTCTGCTCTGATTGACACTCCATCCCCTGCTAATTACACTCAGCCAGCTTTCCCTTTAATGGTCTTCTATATAATGGCCACCGGCCAGGGTTACCAGAGACTTGACAAAGCGCAACTGCACGAAACATGTCGTCTTGGTAACCCTTCACATGCTCCCAGCTGAAGCCAACGCAGGACACTGCCTTCCCTTGCCATGGTGACACCACCCGGTACGCTGACACCACGTGATTTGAAGTCGACAGGAGCATGCTCCGTTCTCAGCTCCCATCAGAGCGGACGGGCCATCCGTTGGAGTCACACTGTCCACTTCAGGGTGGTCAAATTTTATTATATTTGCTACTTTGTCTCACCCAATAAAGATGCACCTTCATTAAGGTGCTTGTCTGAGAGCATTTTCCACAGCGCCTATTTTTTTCAGTTCTCTTCATCATGCAAATGATTAACAAGGCAGCAGTGGTGAGCTCATGATCAACTGTTAACTGTAACTGCTCATTTGTATGAGAACCCCATACACAGCATTCTGGAGTAGGAGTCTGAGAAATGACTACAACACATGAGTGTTCTCTGTTAAGGCTTGAAATTACTCTTGTGAGGGTAATTGTATGCATTCTTGCCCTATAGAAGTGTTCACCTGATTCATTTATTATTTTATTTATTTTATTTTTAGTTGATTTATTTATTTAATTTTTTGGTTTATGAGTGTACACTGTTTGTCACATTTATTTATATCTATTTATAGTGTACACAGAGTGATCTCACGATTCACGTGTTACTCACGTTTTGAATCTTGGGTTGTTTTTGCACGGATTTGTTATAAGTATATACTTATTGGTTATTGAAGTATATACCGGTTTTTATTGAGGTAATACACTATTTAGTTTTATTTTATTTCGAGGTACTCACCTGATCTGGATTTATGGGAATATTGAAGTTGGACACAGAGGATTAATTTTATTTTGGACTTAATTTTGTTATACACATTGACTGACACAAAAAAAGGTTTTCCTAATATTGTTCTGTCTCTCCAGTCTAAGCATTGATAGTGTGATCTCTGTAACTTACAGTTGTGATGAGATAGCGATAACTTCAACCTCAATTGGATACCACAGTCAGTGACTCAATCGATAAGACATCTTGTAGATCTTGTGAAGTTTATTCCATAAACTGAGAGAATCTTACAACAATGAACATTCGATAGGTCAAAAGATCATAATGTGATCTACTTCATGACATGAGGGTAGAGCTGCAATGCATTTCTGGGAAAGGGGGAGGGCTATCTAAACAGCATTAACTAAACCAAAGGAAAGGGAGGAGCAGAAACAAAATATAGAAACACTTAAAGGCATATGACAGTCAATATGACAGTCATGTAAAACATGACAAATATTATTCACTTTCAAGGGTGAAAGTGTGACTTTTTTGGACTATTTGAATTTTACACAAGTTTGGTTTACATATTTTGTGCAATATTTATAATTTGGGATGCCTAATACTGATTAATTTATAGGTTGATACGATTATTTTCATCAAACTCATGCATTCCTTTACTAGACTATGTATTCCTTATATTACCTATGGGCAGCACAGTGGCTAAATGGTTAGCACTTCCCCCTGGCAGTACTAGGGTTAGGGATTCAAATCCCAATCACACAGCACCTCCAGCCTGGAGTTTGAATGTTCTCCCTGTGCCTGTGTGGGTGTCCTCCGGATTCCTCCCACACTCCAAAGACATGCTGTAGGTTAACTGGATCCTGTCTAAATTGGCCCTAGTATGTGTAGGTATGAATGTAAGCTAGGGACCTTATATTGTACACCCCTTGAGGGTTAGAGACTGATGTGAATGTATAATATATATGTAAAACGCTGCCTAAATTGACAGCGCTATACAAGTACCTGAAATAAATAAATAAATATTTTGGTGTGGTTGACTAACATAGTACAGGCCCTATCACTTCCCTGTCTTTTTCAGTACTGAGTTGTCCTCTGTGGGATGAAATGATCATGAAGGTGAAGGTCACTGATTTTCTCTGATATAGTGTGTGCAGTAAAGAAACTAGTATTTACTTAATCCTAATAATCCTCAAACGTCTGCAATCTCCTGTGTTACAGATGTAAGTGTCTGCCTGTAGTGTAATGCAGTTTCTCACTATAGGTAAATGCAGAAACTGTCAAAAAAAAAAATGTCAGTGTAAGCTGTTTCCATCACTGCTCTGCAATGCAGTGAGGGAAAAAAAGAAATATCCCGGCACTTTTTTTTTTTTTTTTTTTTTTGCAGTAACAGTCTTAAGAAGGCCCATAGGAATGAATGGAAGTACATTCAAAGGCATTATTATATGCTGATACTGCATAGTCAAGGTAAACTTCCATTTTTCCATTAATGTAGTTTTTTTTTTTTTTTTTTTTTTTTTTGCAAAAAGACAGAGAAAACTCACATTGACATAGATTAAATATGCACTTTCAATCACATTAAAAAGCATATATAATGTGCATAAGGCTTGTAAAAAATGCATGTAGATTTGCCGTTAGGATGTGATATCAGTTACAGCTCATTCACATTTGTATGCTTGAAAATTGCATGTTGTAACATTAAAAAACTGCTGTGGGCAATCACTATGGTGTGCTGATGATGTACAGCGGGTTTTCAGTTTCGACAGAGCCATCCATCATTGTCATTCCAACGTCCCTCTTCTTCTTTGATTGTGTGCACCTGAAACTACCTTACCTTGAATGTGTGCTGATTCATAATGACATGCTTCATGCTTTCCTATATGCATTTTCAGTGGTCATGCTTGTTGAAAATGAATAGAGAAAAAGGGTGCTATTTCCTGCCTCGTTACAGCAGTCTTGGAAGCTTAACCATTTGCCCTCCAGAGGATTTCCCCCCCTCCCTGACCAGGCCATTTTTTGCATTACGGCGTTGAATTACTTTAACTGACAGTTGCGCGGTCATGAAACACTGCACCCAAATGAAATTTACATCCTTTTTTCCCCACAAATTGAGCTTTCTTTTGGTGGTATTTGATCGCCTGTGCATTTTTATTTTTTGAGCTATTGAAAAAAAAAAGACAGACCATTCTGAGAAAAAAACAATATTTTTGACTTTTTGCTATTAAACATGTCCAGTAAAAAATTTGTAAAAATCTAATTTCGTCATAAATTTTTGCTAAATTCTGCTACATGTCTTTGCTAAAAAAAAATCCCAATACATGTAAATTAAATGGTTTCCATGAAAGTTATAGCATTTAAAAATGGCAGTATAGATACTGGGATTTTTTTTTTCTAGTTGTAATGGTGGCGATCAGGGACTTTTAGCGGGACTGCGGTGGACATTCTGACACAGGGGGGAGCTGACTTGGTGTCACTGACATCCCCAGTGACACCAATACAGTGATCAGTGATAAAAAAAAAAGCACTGGCACTGTACTAATGGCACTAGGCAGGAAGGGGTTAATATGAGGGGCGATCAAAGGGTTAACTATGTGTAGGAAGTGTTTACTAGGGATCTCGGGGGGGGGGGGGGTGTGCTTCACTGTAATCACACTGCTCAGGATGGCTGTGCAGCCATCCAGAGCAGTGTGCCCGAGCTGACAGGGAGGAAGACTGTTAGTAAACGAACACTGTCAGAGATGCTCGGTAATCACTGGGCGCCGGCAGGTAATTACCAGCCGGGACCCAGTGATTGACAGCTGCCGCCACGAATGTAAAGCGGATATGGATACCCGGATATGCAAATTCACGTATACGTGATTTTGTACACCCCTGCCATCCTGTAGCAGTATATCTGCTATAGGGCAGCAGGGAAGCTGTGTTACTAAACCCAGGACCCTGCATTCACTATATCTGGTCTCCCACAGTACACACAACATGGAAATGCAATTATTTTAGGAAATATAAACTGCTAAACACCTTTTCTCATCAGCAGTATATAGCAGTCTTTTGACTTCCATCAGTGTCCAGCAGAGCATTGGTTAAAGCTTGTAGGAGGAGTTTTCTTTCTCCTCTAGGAGGATGCAGAACCCCTGACCTCTGGTCTGGACAGTGCTGATTGGCCCTGTGCTTATCATATGCATTCTCCCAAGAAAAAAAAAACTCTCTAGCAATAAACACCAAACTGAGCATGTGCAGAGTGACTCCACATGATATGTCTTATCAGGAGATAAGAGGGGGACACTGGAAGAAGGGGAGGATCAGAGAAGACAGGATTAAACAGCGTTTTTACACAATCCAAAGGATTCACCCCTTAGGTTCTACAGTGAGTACAACAAGCATGCTTTACGGCATATACACACTGATTTTACTGTTGTGGGTTTAGTAACACTTTAAAGCTAAATTCCAGCTGTCCCTGCTGTCTTCCACTGCACACTGTGAGTATTAGATGCTGTAGCAAGTCAGAAAGAGCCAGCCTCATTTCCTAGCTAGAGGATTCCAGCATAATCTCCCAATTTCCTGCCCATCCTGACTGTCCTTGGTGTCTTTCATTCATTGGATGTCAGTTCTGTCAATCATGGAGGCTCAGTATTACATGTGGGTACAACCAAGGATGGTCTGCATACAAATAAAGTTTGCCTAGGAATGCCCCCTCCTCCAGACCTACATTCACCCATTAAAGCCAAGTGGTGGCCAGGGGATGGTAAAAACAGTTGATTGATTCCCCCCACCCCCCCCCCCCCCCCCCACCACACATCTACAATCAGGGTCTGTTTTCTTTGCCCCAGCTGCAATCTCTTGCAGCAATTTGCAAAATTGCTTATTACCACCAGCAATGTACTGCATATGGGCGACCCATACAAGCACATTGACATTCTGTATGTAGCTGACCTCTTCCGGGTACAGGGCGTGCCATGCACCACCATCCACCAAATCCCGCTGTGATTGTACACAGCAGGAGTTTTTCAGCAGGTCCGGGCCAATGATTCATGACTGGGACGTGCCTATCCGCTGTATCCAATCACAGCCTAGAGCCCTGTGATGACAATCAACACAGGGCTCTGTACAGAGGGAACAATCTCTTCTCCCTGCTTTGAAACAAGGAGATATTTATTAACAAGCAGCATAAACACATTAACACTTGTTAGGAATCCACTTAACCCCTTGATTACCCCAAGATATTAACCCCTTCCCAGCCAGTGTCATTAGTACAGTGACAGTGTATAGTATTATCATTGATCACTGTATTAGTGTCACTGTCGATGTCAGTGTCAGTTGCCACCCAGTGTCATTTAGTGTCAGATTGCCTGCCGCACTATCATAGTTTCATTGTAAGTCTCTGAAAACCCTTCAATTAGTACTATAAAAAAAAAAATCCAATATATTTAAATTGATTGTGAACGCTATAGCAATCACACAAACCAATTAATATACATGTATTGGGATTTTTTTTATCAAAGACATGTAGCAGAATACATTTTGGCCTAAATTTATGAAGAAATTTGATTTTTGTTTTCATTTTTTATAGTGGATATGTTTTATAGCAGAAAGTAAAAAAAATATTGTTTTTTTTTTCAAAATGTTTTTCCATTTATATAATAATTAAAAATAATTTTTAATTATTATATGCAGTGCACAATGTAACTCCATCATCCTCATCCTCACCCAGAATCATCCTCATTCCCCTCCAAATTTAACGCCCTCATCCTCACGTAGAATCATCCCCATCCCCCTCCACAATGTAACTCCATCAACCTCATCCCTCTCCAGAATCATCATCATCCCTAGGGGCCATCATTAATATTGATTGGGCCCTGTATTTCTGGGTAGGCTGTTAGTGGCTTCAGATGATGTAGTCCTGAGGAAGTCACGAGGTCACGTGACGCAACGCGTCGACGGCATTACGTGGTGACGCACTTCCGGCGCGGCGCCATCTTGGAACACCCTTCAGCCACATGTTTACACCCATGGTATGGGAACAAGCTGTATTTCATCTTGCTGATGTAAGTGTGCATTTTACATAGTTCAAATACAGTATTAAAGCGGTTTTTACAATATGGAGGATGTCTTCTTCTTTTATCCTATTGGGATCTGAGCTGGGATCCATCCTGCTCATCTGACCGTCAAGGATATTATAGGAGAGGTGGAATCAGTGTGTTGGGGATATATCTTCAAGTCATCTACTCAAGAGGAAGGTTGTCTTGATCCAGTGGTGATAGTATATGCTCTGTGGCCCTGCAGGGTCACAGATAGGAGGTGAGAGGCCATTTCAGCCGGTTTTGGATTACACTTCAGGGTGTGTGGGATCATACACATTCCATTGACTTTGCATGAATAGAAGGAATGTGACACGGATCACCGGACTTTTTTAATGTGTGCAGTGGTTTCACATGTGTTTAAGACCTCACATATTTAGTTCCATTACGCACTTACTTCTCCTTTTTAACACACTAAGGAGTGTGTTTTTTTGTACTGACTATGTGTTTCTTAATTATGATACAGTAATCTCATAAGAGTATCTATCTATTCCTTTTTAAGCGCTACATCATTTTTTATTTGCATATTCTGTTAGTGGCTTTAGCTGTCGATCACCAAGTCCCGGCCGGTGATTCCCTAACAGCATGCGGTGATTGCCGACTAACACTGATGGGGGGAGAGGTCTGTATGTAAACGTGATTTTATATATATTTGATTTTGTATTTCTGGGTAGGCTGTTTGTGGCTTCAGCTGTCAGTCATTGAGTCCCGGCCGATGATTCCTCAACAGCATGCGGTGATTGCCGAGTATCACTGACGGGGGAGAGGTCTGTATGTAAACGTGATTTTATATGTACGTGATTTTGTATTTCTGGGTAGGCTGTTGGCGATTTCAGCTGTCGATCACTGGGTCCCGGACGGTGATTCCCCAACAGCACGCAGTGCTCGCTGAGTATCACTGACGGGGGAGTGGCCTGTATGTAAACAATATAGATCTCTCCCTTGTCAGCTCTAGCACACTGATTTGTATTGCTGTGCACAGCAGAGCAATACAAAGCAGCGTGTTTGCGCAGTAAAGCACACACACAGTAAAACACTCCCAGCACACAGTTAACCCTTTGATCGGCCCAGATGTTAACCGCTTCCTGCCCAGTGCCATTAGTACAGTGTCAGTGCTTTTTATTAGCATTGATCATTGTAGTAGTGTCACTGGAGATGTCAGTGACAGTTAGTCAGTTCCCCCCAAGTGTCAGAATGCCCGCCGCAGTCCCGCTATAAGTCGCTGATTACTAGTATAAATAAATAAATTAAAATTCCAGTACACATACCGACATTTGTGGATGCTATAACTTTCACATAAACCAATTAATTTACACATACTGTTTTTTGGGTTTTTTTTGGCAAAGACATGTAACAGAATACATTTTGGCCTAAATTTATGACGAAATTAGATTTTTTTTTAATTTTCTTACTGGATATGTCAAAAGTCAAAAATATTTTTTTTCAAAATTGTTGGTCTTTTTTGTTTATAGCGCAAAAAAATAAAAAAACTGCACAGGCGATCAAATACCACCAAAAGAAAGCTCTATTTGTAGTAAAAAAAAGACATAAATTTAATTTGGGTGCAGCGTTGCATGACTGCGCAATTGTCAAAGTAACACAGCCCTGTATCGCAAAAAATGGCCTGGTCAGGAAGGGGGGTAAATCCTCAGGAGGATAACTTTCCTGTCTTTGGGAACCCTTGCTACTACATCTACTACTCATGATACATTAGTGTGATAGTGAGTGGGAAGAATGCTCCTTACACTTGTGGTCACTGGGAAGAATTGCCCCTTTATAGATAACTAAAAATATTGATGGTGTCAGTTGGAATTTATGTGAAAGTCAGAAATTGTTAATTGTGCAAGGAACCCCTAGCAACCTCTGGAGGAACACTGGTTGAGAAATCCTGGTCTAGTTTGTACAAAAACTTTACTAAAACTTAATGACATCAGAAGTTTATTTCAAGTCAGGTAACCTTACCCAGGGCTGTATTTACCAAAAGGCAAACAAGGCATTTGCCTAGGGCGGCATTTTTCAGGGGGGCAGCACCGCTCCCCTTAAAGAAGGGACAGAAGAAGGGACACATTCGGCTTGGGGACCAGGTGGGAGAGAGGCTGCAGGCTGCTTGACTCTCGTTCCTGGGGATGTCCACAGCTGTGAAGGTGAGTGTTTTTCTCTCTCTCGCTGGGAGGGGAGTGGCTGGTGTATTGGGGCGATGGTAGTGGAAGGCTCTCTCGGGTGTGGGGGAGGAGGGGTGTTGTTGGTCAATGTTAGGCTCTCTCCAAGAGAGGGGGCGAATTTTGTGTTGCCTAGGGCAGCACAAAACCTTAATACATCACTGACCTTACCCATATTTAAGTGAAGCTTTGGTGGTTTACTACAGTGTTTCTCAACCTTTTTTCAGGCAAGACACCCTTTAAAATTATGGGCAGTCCCGAGACACCCTTTAAAATTGGGAACAGTCTTGAGGCACCCCATTCTAAAATGTGAAAAACTATTCTAATAGTTTTATATAACGCAGCAACATCCACACACATAGGACACCTAATATTAGAGGTGATTTATCCTTCCACAGCAAATACACTTTTTTTGCACACTGGTGCTGACTAGTATTCCAATGTTTCTCTTCCCCCTCAGTTTTTATCCATCACTGAGCTAATGTGACCCCAGCACTGATGGAGGGGAGGGTTAAACTAGGATGCTCTGCAGGCAGCTGACATCCTCCTTATCAACTGATGATGTCATTGGTTGTCAGGACACCAGCGGCTAGAAGGTTGTAATGGTGCACAATGAAAACCCGTGGCTTTGTGTAACTAATAGGCAGGCTTGTTCCACCCGCTGGCTTGTATACAAGTTTGGGGCAATTTTTAGACATTTTGCCAAGGCACCCCTGAAGAAACCTCAAGGCACCCTGGTTGAGAAAGGCTGGTTTACTGCAAAGAGAAGAGGCATTAAAAAGTATGGTAATCCTCAATTCAAGTTTATTTATTTGAGTATAAAAGAATAAAAAGTACATGCCAATGTGTTTTGTGGGAAATGCATCGACTTTACAAGGTCTAAAAGACACAGTAAATAAAATGAAGCATTAGAATAGATGTGTGATAAATAGGTCATATCCACAGTACTCAATACTAAATACAGTATGTATTTATAATAACAAATAAATGAAAAAAGACTCACAATATAGTGAAATAATGATAGGAATAAGAGGACACAAGGGGAAAAAAGAACCCATATCTCTATTTGGAATGGGGAAAAAGGGTAACAAAAATAGGGCGTAGAAATGGAATACGGTAAGTGTACCTGGGGAAACAGAAGCCAAAAACGAACCTTTATCCATTTCTATCAGTCTACCTATTTTATTCTGTTTTTGTACCCTTACTCCCGTGTGCCATACAGAACTATGTGTTCATTTGTTCAATTCCTTTTTTTAAAATCATTCAACAGTGTGATGTACACCTGCCTGAGACTTATGACACAAGCCACATGCAAAAGTTACATATTAAGTACTAAACTACTAATACAATACTATTGTAAATGTGATCATGAGGTTTATTTACTAAAGCTGTAGAGTGCAAAATCAGGTTCACTTCTATATAGAAACCAATCAGCTTTCAGGTTTTATTGCTAAAGCTTAACAGAACAAGCTGAGGTTAGAAGCCGATTGGTTTCTATGCAGAAGTGATCCTGATTTTGCACTCTCCAGCTTTAGTAAATAAACCCCTATTATACACAGCTTACAAACAGAGCTTATTGATGAACATTTGAGGCTATCTATTGTTGTCTTATAATAAATAATAGAACAGTTATTTTGCCAGAGATGAGTTTAGATCAGATAAAGATATTATCTGTTGTCTTCTATTAATATAGAGGATGAATGAAGAGTGTATATTTATAAATGTATTTTCCCGCAGCAACTAACAGTTCTTTTCCAGGGAAATGCATTTAATCAGTTCAGCGACAGTTCATAAGACAGAGGTACAGACAAGGCAGATGACAGGATACTTAGAATATTCATGCAACCATCAAACTCAGAGGGCTCACTTTCTCCTGTCACCCCACAACCAAAAAGAATCTTCCTCAATATACACATTTTTCCCATTCAGTACAATGGCAAGCATTCTGATTGGCCACTTGTAGGAGCCCCTTTGATCTTCTGTGTCTAGACCTAGAACAGCTGTATGCATAGGTTTTAATTAAAAAGGTAAATAGATACTCCTTGTCTTGTTTATGGCAAATCTGCTCTCTTCACCATAAACAAGCACACCATGAATATTTAAGACCTTTCCCAATCTATTTGCAAATAACCTGTTCTGAAACTCCCCCTGACCAGGGGCGGACTGACCCCTAGGGCCCAGGGTCAGTAGGGGGCCCCATGAAATGCCCAGGTACCTTTTTATAGGCTTTTTTGGGTGTACTTTGAGTGTGGGCAAGGACACAGGGGCCCCATGATCCCCTATTGCCCGGGGGCCCCATGAGTTGTCAGTCCGCCTCTGCCCCTGACTCTCCACATATTTACCCAAAAACAGGTTAACCCAACATAACAAAGGTAAGTACCTCGTGCATAAATGAACATAGTAAGGAGTCCTTATTCTATCCTTTTGGGGTGTAAAATATGCAGTTCGTCTGGTCCACTATGAATGCCAACTTCACATCCATGAATGTATATACAGTACATTTACTTATATTTTATATATATAGTTATATCAATGATACACACATTTTATATGCCTACATCTATAATTCTTCAGCCACCTGACTAGAAAGAAAAATTTCCAAGAGCCTGTATTAAAGGAACCCTGTATTGACCATACTGACTGCCATTGCAGTCTTTATTTTAATACTAGTTACCTGGCCGCCTCTTATCTCATTTATTAAAGAGGGAAGACTTCATACTCAAAAATGACTGAAGCCTTATAACAATATAAAAACCAGGCAAAGAGAATTTTAAAAAAAAACAGAGCCAATGGAAGCCTTAGGCCTTGTTCACACCTATGCATTTTATGTAATGCTTTTTGCAGTTTGCAGAAACGCACTACAGTCCATTTAACATGGTTTCCCTATGGGGCACGTTCACATCTATGCATGCTTCAGCTGCTGCATTTTTGGCAAAGGTCAGGGTTTTTTTTGGCAGATTTAAACACGCATAGGTGTGAACCAGGCAGGCTTAAGGTTTTTATTCAGTAGAGGCTTCCTTTAACCGCTTGCCCACTGCCCTATAGTAGAATTTCTGCTACAGGGTGGCAGAGCTGCGCAAAATAATGTATATATACATAATTTGCATTTCCGGGTAGGGGGCTGCGCAGCGCCTTACCCGCGCCGCCATTGTGGCTAGGCATGTCAATCACCGGGTCCGGCTGGAGATTCCCCGCTGGCACCTGGCGATCATCATGCAAAGCTGACAGGGGAGAAACCTGTGTGTAAACAACACAGGTCTCTCTCCTGCTAGCAAGGACATGCTGCTGTGTATTTCTCTGTACAGCAGAGAAATACACAGCAGCATGTCTCCATAGTAAAACACACACAATACATTATGAAAAACAGCACACTGTTAACCCTTTGATCGCCCCAGATGTTAATTAGTGTCATTAGTACAGTGTCCGTGCTTTTTATTAGCACTGCTCACTGTATTAGTGTCATTGGGATGTCAGTGACAGTTAGTTCCCACCCAGTGTCAGAATGCCTGAAGCATTCCCGCTATAAGTTACTGATTGCCACCATTACTAGTGTAAAAAAATAAATAAATAAAAATCCCAGTATATATACTGACATTTGTAGATACTATAACTTATACGCAAACCAATTAATTTACATGTATTGATATTTTTTTTTTTAGCAAAGACATGTAGCAGAATACATTTTGGCCTAAACTTATGAAGAAATGTGATTTTTTAAATTTTTTTACTGGACATGTTAGATAGCAAAAAGTCAAAAAAGTTTTTTTTTTTTTTTCAAAATTGTTGGTCTTTTTTTTTTATAGCACAAAAAACAAAAATCGCACAGGTGATCAAATACCACCGAAAGAAAGCTCTATTTTGTGGGAAAAAGAGACATAAATTTCATTTATGTACAGCATTGCATGACCGCACAATTGTCAGTTAAAGTAACGCAGTGCCATATCACAAAAAATGGCCTGGTCAGGAAGGGCGGGGCAAATCCTCTGGAGGAAAAGTTCTAGCACAATATTTCTGACAACTAGAGGGTAGAATTTAAATTGGTAGTATACACCGTATAGGCAACTCACTTGTACCTAGGAATCTTCTTGGTACAACTTCTTTTAAAGCGAACCTTGCTGTGTTTTAAATGTGGGTGCATGTAATTGTCATTGAGTGTAAGAATTCAAAAGTTATCAAGCTTTGTCAATATGCTAGGCACTCCTCCAGTGTTTGACTATGTTATTTGTAACAATCCAGAAGTGACAATCAAAAACTTCGCAGCTACAAAACTGGTGGCCGATACATTCAAGTAAATGAAATAGGAGTCTCTGTAATATGAAAAGATAGACAGCTGCATTTTATTTTGAGCAGTCGCAGGACAGGACTTCTGGTAATAGCTATTTCTGCTTTGTTCATTCTAGTGATCTGCTTCTTCTTGCCACTGTTCTGTTATATATCTCTACCCCAATTTATCAGACTATCGCCTACTCTGCTCACTTTTAGGCGATCTCTGAAAACCTCTCTCTTCAGGGAAGCCTATCCTGCCCTCAGCTAATAACGGAATCTTCTATTCCTCCTATCAGTCCATCCCTCACAGTTATTACCTTTTGTACCACCAGCCCCTTCCTCTTAGATTGTAAGCTCCAAGGAGCAGGGCCCTCCTAACCCTCTTGTATTGAACTGTATTGTTGCTGTATTGTCTCCCGTTATATTGTAAAGCACTGAGTAAACTGTTGGCGCTATATAAATACTGTATAATAATAATAAGAAGATTGTAAACTTAAAATGGACCTTTATCCAATATTACAACCTTTTACCTCCTGCCCCCTTCTTAGACAGTATCGGTTTGGACAACAGTACAGGCGATTCTAGTGCAAAATTCAAAAAACAGAAAAAAAAAAGATCAGAAATGTAAAAGTGATCCTGTAAAAACAAATATGAGAAATGCCAACTTGAACATACATTTAAAGGTTCACAGTCCACACTACTAGTGAGTCCAATATGGTAGCTCAATTTTGGCACAATAACAGCACCCTTTGATGGAGGCGTATTAGGAAAAAATACACCTTTTTTTTAGTCTGTGGTAGAATATTACATTCCAGTTATCAACATCTTTTATAAATCGTACTGAGAAATTGTCACCCACTTGGATCTCTGTAGACACAGCAGGCTGTGGTGACCGCTTCTGCTGGCATATAAGAAATAAATAGAAATTTACTATTAGTCATGTGTGTTTGTGGAGGCTATTCAGAAGAAAGGTCTGTGACCTGACTCACAAGGAGCACTCTTACAAACAATCTAGGCCTGACTGCTGCTGTATAAAGGTTCTTTATGGAGACTAAAAGGACCTGACCATAGTACCACAGAGTAATAAATCAAATACTGGCAAAAAAAATAGAAAGTTACATCACTAATGGGAATGTTGGTAAAAGCCCATTTGAAGACTTTTTTTTTTACATTATTATTACCCGTTACATGGTTAGGCATATGGCAGTTTTGGTGTTTTACTTTACTAAGCTGTCCTGTGCTGGCAGCACACTGGACAGCCAGACTGCTACTGTCACAAAGAGTGCAGTGGCCCATGTTTCCTCCTCAGTACTTCAATAAACATGGCTGTTCGGGAAACATGGATGGTATGGATTGGAATACTAAGGAGGAGGTGTGTTGGACCACTGGAGACCTGGATCACTGAGCTCTGTGTAGGGGCAGTGGTCCAGCTCTACAGTATGCCGCACATTCCTCCTCAGTACTTCAATAAACATGGCTGTTCGGGAAACATGGATGGTATGGATTGGAAACTAAGGAGGAGGTGTGTTGGACCACTGGAGACCTGGATCACTGAGCTCTGTGTAGGGGCAGTGGTCCAGCTCTACAGTATGCCGCACATGACAGCTTAATATAGTTAAACGCTAACACATAGATTTTTTTAGTGCACAACCATCTCTATGGTTTACAGAGAATGGTCCGAAAAAGAGAAAGTATCCAGTGAGTGGCAGTTGTGTGGATGAAAAAGCCTTGTTGATGTCAGAGGAGAATGGGCAGACTGGTTGCTGCTACATTCAGATGGTAGGGTCAGAATTTGGTGTGAACAACATGAAAGCATGGATCCATCCTGCCTTGTATCAATGGTTCAGGCTGGTGGTGGTGTAATGGTGTGGGGGATATTTTCTTGGCATTAACAAGGTGTAGCTGATAAAATGGCTGGTGAATGTAAATCACAGGACTTGGAGGTGTTTACTATATGCTGCCAATGTGGATTAGGGATTTATTTTCTTTTCCAAGTTTGCTTCACACATATCCTGACTGCATGATCTTTGGAAGTTTCTTACGTGAAATAAGGGATGTCAATATATACTTGTGTCTACATGTCACATGGGGGAGATTTTACTAAAACTGGAGAGCGCTCAGCTGTGCATGGTAGCCAATCAGCTTCTAACTTCAGCTTGTTCAATTAAGCTTTGGCACTCGCCAGTTTTAGTACATCACCCTCCATACGCTGCCAGATACACCAACATAACTCTTGCACTGTGTGTTTTAAATGAACCAAGATCCTCAGGATTAAGTATAGAAGTAACAACCAGTGTGATAAATAAATATCACCACAATAAATATGAGTATACTTGGTTTAAAAGATTGTATTAATTCCCTGTTAAATATCCAATTAAAAATGAGCTAGCAGCAGTTCTTTTAGAAGTATGAAAATGATCAGATTCCAAATGCAGGAAGACCAAGAAGGACTGGAGTTTTTCTCAAATTTGACAAAGTGGACTGGTACGCGGTTCTCGCAGGTTACATGCACTATTCCTTTCGTTCCTTTCTGGTTGTAGGAACAGCTTGTAGCAGACGCAGATTTTTGCAGCTTGCAATCTGTTAGCTTCAAGGATCCACTGCTTTCAACAACTGTAGAAGACACATATGGTGAACACATGGCACGCACTTTCTTTGCATCGGTATCATGGATGAAAGTGTTGCGAAATCTACAAATATTCTTATTGAGCTTCCGTTCACTTATGGTGAGGTTGCAGTTTATGTTCTCCTGATCTTGAACAATGTGCTTGTCCTTAAATGTGTTGTAGTTCTGACATCTAATTACAGACAAGCTGCCAAAAATGGCAACAATAAAAAGGGCAACCCAACCCGATGACATCTTGATCTTGAAAGAAAAAAGAAACAGAAAAGACAGTCACCATCTGCCATTGAGCAGAACATTCACA